TATCCTGTGTGGATTCAGTGCTAGGTGGAAGGAAGTTTCAAGAAGTAGTTACCTTACTAGTCTGGTATGACAGGGAAGGTTTCTTTTAGAGATGATGACTGAGCACCAGTTCTAGGAATACAACTGCCTATTGGACAGACCCATTTGGATGTCCCTAGACCCCTCATTTCAACACATCCAAACCTAAGTCTCCCTGAGTTCCCACAGGAATTGGGATGCCTCACTTTCAATTGCTTCACTTCCTATGTCCTGTGAGATCTTGAAGGAGAGGGAAAAAAGGCTCCCTTGTGAGGGTGACCCAGTGTAGGGTTTGGCAAGGTTGGAGGTAAGATGGAGACATAGTAGCTGCCATGTGAGTGGTATAGGGCCACTGGGGACTGCAAGCATATTTGCATTTTAGAAAGATTGTTATCAGCAGAACAAAGACTAGATGGAGCTGGGAGAGCCTGGGCAGGGAACCAGCTCAGTGGACTTTGGAGAGTATCCAACCCCCTACTTTGACCCCCTACTTTGAGTGTGCCAGGACCAGCGGCTAGAACAAAGCCTCTTATGACAAAACAACCAATTGGGAAATCTTTGGATTTTCCTCAAAACACCCTTCAAGTACTCAATGGAAAGGGAATATGGAGGGAGAAGGAAGCAAAACAAGGTCTCCTGTTTACTGTAAGCATTCAGGACAACCCCACAAGGCTCACAGGAGGCCTGGCATGTGGGAGCAGGTGTCAGAGATGCTGCTGAGGACCTGGGGCCAGGCTGCTGACTTCCTCACACTCTGCCCTGACAGCAGGAGGGGGTGGCTTTATCCTTTCTCTACAACTGTCAGAAGCAAGACTAAAAACACTGCTGGCATCTTAACTTCACTTTCTTCTGAAAACTGGGGCCTTTCAAAGAATAATCAGACTTCTCTAAAGTTGACATAAAAACAATGGGAATACAACTTTTCCCCCCAAACAATTTAAAGTACTTTTCAAAGGGGCAAGGTTATCCACAGTTGGTTCAACCATAGTGTAAGGTATTATGGAAACAGAACTTGGTTATTTCCTTTTTTCCTCTTTCCACATATTCTATTTGTTGCATTAAAGTGGTACAAAATGATGGACTTTGTTGCTATATATTCGTAAATGCACACAGTATAACAATATACTTTGGCCAATATCACTCCCCAGTCCCTCCCCACCTCCCACATCCTACATCCCATGTCCTGGTCCCTTTCCTCTACTGATCTCCCTTGATTTTCATAAAATCCCCCCCATCACTTTTCCTTTTTCCTCTGTAGCTTCCACATATGAAGGAAAACATACAACCCTTGACCTTCTGAGTTTGACTTATTTTCCTTAACTTTTTGAGTTTGACTTATATGGCATAACATAATGGTCTCTACAGAACTTTGTTATTTCTTTTGTTTTTCTTCCTTTCTTCCTTCCTTCCTGCACTGAGGATTGAATCCAGGGCTTGGTGCATGCTATGCAAGTGCTCTGCTACAGAGCTACATTCCCAGCCCTGTTATTTCTTTTGCAATAAGACTGAACTTATGTACTATGAGTTGGCTCTCCTTTTTATGGTTATCTTTGTTATACAGAAGAGGAAATTGAGGGCACAACAAGGTTACATAACTGCCAGAAGTACATGCAGGTGCCAGGGAGCCTGCAATGCACGTGGACAGGTGATTCCAGAGTCTGATTTTTCATGGTCCCACTCAGGTTGGCTGAAGGAGGGAAAAGGCATGTTCCCCCGATTTCTCCTTGTATTGAGGCAGTGGCTGCAATGCATGCATGCAAGACTTTGAGGGAATGAATTCAGTTGTACTGGTAGAAGTGGAGAAACTGCGGCCAATAAGGGTACATTTAGGATTATTTGCAAACATCTATTTAGGGAAGGTGAGATAACATTTAGGATGAAAGGAGCACCTGGCACGATCCTATGTGTCCAGAGAATTCTTCCCTGAGTATTTCCATGAGTTACTGTGTAAGGCAGGGGGCCAGGGGGTGAGTGAGCTTAAGGAGAAGAATAGGAGGGAGAATATGTATGAGATCCAGACAGGATTTTGTTATTGTTGTTGTTTCTTTGTCCTGGGGTTGAACCTAGGGGCACTTACCACTGCGATGCATCTCTAGTTCTTTTTTAAAGTTGCTTAGGGCTTCACTAAGGTGCTGGGACTGGTCTAGAACTTGCAATATTCCTGCCTTGGTCTCCCCAGTAACTCCAATTATAGGCAAGTCCCATGATGTCTGGCTTCAGATAGGTATTTCTAACTTGAATTGAAAAGTGCAGAATGGGATGTAGCTCAGCGTAAAAGGGTTTGCCTCACCTGTGCTAAGTCATCAATTTGATCCCCAGCTCCAAAAGAAAAGACAAAAAAAAAAAAAAAAGAAAAGACAAAAAATAAAAATAAAAGTATTGGAACACTAACATAACTACAGTAAAGAAGTTACTCAGTTCTTTTTTACCTTCTCATTACTATCATTCACAGAAAGGTAAGAAATCCTATTTAGGAAAACTTGAATGTGTCTAAGACTACAAAACATTTTTTTTTTTAACTTCTTGCAGTGCTGGGGTTTATATCTGGGGCCATGTACATGCTAGGCAAGCACTCTACCCCTGAGTCACACCCCTAAGAAGCCTTGGGAGATAAGAAATTGGGTAAATGAAAGCATATCACCACTGAAATCTAAGACTGAAAAAGAGATTAAGTAAATGGGATTTTAACCAACATCATGCCAAGAACCACAATAAAAAAGCAAGGATTTTTAGTAATCTGTATGACAACTTTGTAAAACCTATGGGCTCCACAGTGGTGCGTAGACAATATTTATACATTTATGGGCTGATCTTAATATGGGCTTGTGCTCAGGTAGCATGTCTTCTGTAGATGAGAGGCAGTAAACAAGCCTGAATTATCAAGGTGATTAGAGTTAGCAAGAAAGAGAAAGGTAAAGAAAGGGCGGCAGTACAGGGAAAGTATTTGAAGTTCTCCATGAAGTGTTTCTGCTACCAAGGAAAAAAAAAATTATTAGCACAGCACCATCTAGTGCCTGGAGAAGTTACTGTAGGTTTTTCAGAGAGGTAAGAGCAAAGGGCTTTTTCAGAGATTAGAGGTCATTTCAGTGACCGAGGGCTTACTTGGTTCACCCAACTATTGCTCTGAGTTTGAATCTCCCTAACTCCCCACCCCAAATGCAGTATTCAAACTTAAAACAGCTAGAGGCAAGAATATGAAGATTAGGCTGTATAATCAATCGTCTCTCAGTGCCTGGGAGTTTGCCTAATAACACAACTGGTGGAAGGGTAGAATAGTGTTCCATGTTTGTCTTTAGTTTCAATTTAACTTGCAGTTTAAAATTTCACCCAATATAACAGAAACAACTTTACATAATATTTTCTGATATATAATGTCAGATGTGAACTGGGTGTGGTGGCACATGCCTGTAATCTCAGTAACTTTTGGGAGGCTAAAGCAATAGGTTCATAAATTCAAGGCCAGCCTCAGAAACTTGGTGAGACCCTGTCCCAAAATAAAAAAGTAAAAGGGCTGGAGATTATAGCTCAGTGGCAGAGTGTCCCTGGGTTCAATCCCCGTATTGCAAGGAAAAAAGTCAGATATGAGACCAGTGACTCCATTGGGGAAGGTTTTGGTGACAGTTATCCTAAAATGGCCATTTTTAGATGGAATTCCTTCTTGACTGCCTGCCTTCTTTCCTTCCCTTCTTTTCTGATTCTTCTTTCTTTTGTCCTTCTCTTCCCTTTTTTAAATTGAGGTTAAAAACAAAACAACCAAAACCTGCCTTATCCACCTTTCTTCTACATCAGATTATTATTATTTTTTTTTGTTGTTTTTTTTGGTGCTGCTGGAGATTGAACCCAGGAGTACTCTACCACTGAGCTACACCCACGGTCCTTTTAAAAAATTTTAAATTTTAAGTCAGGGTTTTGCTAAATTGCTTAGGATGGCCATGAATTCGACAATCCTCCTACCTCAACCTCCTAAGTAGCTGAGATTATAAATATAATCCCACTCCTGTTCAGATTGCTTCCCGCCCCCCAGTACTGGGGCTTAAACTCTGTGGCACTCAGCCACTAAGCCATATCTCCAGCCATATTTTATATTTTATATAGAGACAAGGTCTCACTGAGTTGCCTAGTGCCTCACTCTTGCTGAGGTTGGTTTTGAACTTGTGATACTCCTGCCTCAACCTCCTGAGCTGCTGGGATTATAGGTGTATGCCACTGTACTGGCTCAGATTGCTTTTTTGTTAATATTTATTTTTTTAGTTTTAGGTGTATACAATATCTTTATTTTATTTTTATGTGGTGCTGAGGATCGAACCCAGTGCCTCACACATGCTAGGCAAGCACCCCACCACTTGAGCCACAAACCCAGCCCTCAGATTGCTTTTTGAACCTGTGAGTTTGCCAGAAACAAATTTATATCTAAGAATGTGTTTTTCCAGGATAGATGATTCTGATATGGAAAGCAGATCCAGAGACCCAGAAGCAGCCCAGATTTCCTTTATGCCTGAGGGCACATCTAGCAGACTTTTTTCTTAGTCCTGGGCAAGTTGGGTGAGTGGATGAGGTTATAAATTAAAGTCAGCTCTTCCTGGGCCTGAAGGTCTCTACCAGAATTGGGCCTTTGGCTTTAGGGCAGTTGGCAGTTTCCCTGGGAGGGAACCCAGCATGGAACAGTATCCCATCCTGTGACATGACACTGGTGACAGCCAGTGTGGTTCTCTGTAAGATTGTGAACATATGATGTATGCCATTGTTTGGATCATTTGCTCTGTTAGAAAAGTGGTGAAGAGCTGAGTAGGTTTTTCTAGCCTGCCATTCGTTGAGCCCTTCAGTATACACCTACAGCCCGGCAGCAGTATGGTCTGAGCTTACATTAATTTTGTGAAGACTAAATGAAACTCCACTTTAACGTTTTAAAATGGAAAGTGTTATTAAGGTAAAGTTATTATTCAAGCTAAATTACTTTTTCTTTTTCTTTTTTCTTTTTTTAGGAGAACTATCCCATTCCTGAACCAGGCCCGAATGGTAGGTCCTTGCAAAACTCAACTGGTATTTTTTTCCTTTTGTTTATGTTGGAGACATGTGCCTTATTTCCCTGCCCCACTTTTTTCCTAAATTTATTACTTTTGCCTTCATTAAAAACAAACCAAAGACTATGCATTTGTTAGGTTGAGAACCTAGTCTGTTTTCTACAATATGACTAGATGGGTAGGTTTATCTTGACTGCTACATTAAATAAAAGAAACATTAACAGAACTAGAAAAAAATTATATTATCTGGGCATGGTGGTACACACCTATAATATCCACGATATAGGAGGCAGAGGCAGAAGAATCACAAATTCAAGGCCAGCCTCATCAACCTAGGAAGGCCCTAAGCAACTTAGCAAGACCTTGTCTCAAAATAAAAAATAAAAAGATCTAGGATGTAACTCAGTAGTAAAGTGCCCCTGCATTCAATCCCCAGTATCAAAAAGTAAATAAATATGTAAAGAAAATAAAAATTTACTGAATCATATTACTGACTTATCTCAGGGAGTTTTTGATGCAAAGTGCATGAACCCAAGGCAGAATTGTTCCTCTTTTGACTTAATGACCAATTACCCTATCTACCACATTGGTATTGCCAAATCATGTCTTAACCCTAGCCCAAACATTGAAAAGCAGTCTACAGAACTTGATCTTTTAATTAGCAAAGAGAGCATCTTGCTAGTATTCCCATGAAGGCCAGTGGAGCACTCTAAGCCTTTCTGTCAGGTGGCTGGGGGAGGGGTTGCAAGGAGCCCTGCCCCCTGCCTAAATCAACCAAGTACTGAAAGTGAGCACACTGGGGCAGGGCTCCTGTACCTTTGCTCTACTCCTTGCAGGCCTCTCAGTGGGTGAGCCCTCAGGGTGAGCTGACACATTTCCTGGTGTGGCGTCTACCTGGGGTGGTCATGCCGCCCAGTTGCCTAGGGAAGATCCCTGCTGATTGTTTTCTGATCTCTCCCATCTCCAGAATCCTACTTATTTATAATCTGCAGGACCCTGAAGTAAGGCTGGGAATAGTGGGCTAGAGTATCTATAGATGGGTCATACCCAGCCAAATAGGCCCCCTTTCTGTTTGTCCTTGATGAGTTAGGATATCCTCCCCCACCCTGCCACACCTCATCCCAGAACTGCAGCCTCTGTGTGAACATCAGATTGAAGGCAGCTTTCCTGGTGGCTCTAGAGGTTTGCTACTCAAAGGTCGGTTGAATTTATTGACTTTCAGTGATAAGATACAGTCAATAGTTCTTTCTATCAGTGTTTAGCAAGTGATGTATTTTCAGGGTTTATAGAGTCATACCAAGATATCATGTTCAGAGAAGTGAAGGAGGCACCTCACTGTGTCCTGATATGTTGTTATTGATATGTTGGTTCCAGAGGTGGCCAAACAAGGGCCATACATCTTGCATTCAGAAGGATCCCAGTATAGCTTCTCTCTGAATCTTTCCTCATTTTATTGTCTCTTGCTATGCTTGAATTGGAAATGGGAAAGAACATATTTTAGTGAGCACCCTAGCAAGTCAGATCTAATCTCTTGCTACAAATTGGTGACTTCAAAAGAGAAAACTCTAAAATAGTTATCCTAATTCAAATGTTTCCCTAATTTTTGGGGGGTGGGAGGTGAGTATTGGGGATTGAACCAAGAGGCACTTAACTACTGAGCCACATGCCCAGTCTTTTTTATTTATTTTATATTTCGTACTGGGACGGAACCCAGGGGTACTTAACCACCGGACCACATCCTCAGCCCTTTTTTTCATATTTTATTCTGAGACAGAATTTTGCTAAGTTGCTAGGACCTCTCTAAGTTGCTAAGGCTAGCCTCGAATTTGTGATCCTTCTGCCTCAACTTCCTGAGTTGCTGGGATTACAGGTGTGTACCACCACATCTGGCTTCCTTACCTTTGATCTCAGAATTCACCCCGCTATTTCTTTCTCTGTTCATGAAAACCAAAGATGAAGAATGTTCTTGAGCCACATCTGCTGGATTTTGCCAATAGTTTTTTTTGTCAACTTGGCTAGGGTATGGTGCCCAGTTGTTTGGTTGGTTAAACACCAGTACAGATGTTGCTGTAAAGGTATTTTTTAGGTATATTTAACATCAGTAAATTTTGAGAAGACCAGATTGTTCCCCACAATGTGGGTGAAGCTCACCCACTCTCAAGAGTAAAGACTGGGCTTTCTTTCTTTATTTTTAATATATATTTTTAAATATATATTTAAAATATATATTTTATATTTATATATTT